TATATATATATACATATATATATATATATACATATATATATATATATATATATATATATATATATATATATATATATATATGACAGGAGACAAGATTTTAACTAAAAATTGGATCGTATCCCTTATGCTATCTACAAGAGAATTACATGTATTTATAGTGAAGCTGAGTACCTGTGAGTAATCTAAAATAAATGCTCTACCTCACAAGTGAAACTAACCATACCTACATAAGCTGCCCAAATTTGTAACCAACTACGCTCCTAGTTAAGATTAAAATTAGCTAAACTGCAAGCTAAATTATGTGCATCAATTTTGATCATTTTCATCCATACAAGGAAGAAGAGATGATGGCCGAACCATTTCTAATTTTCTCATATATGGACCCAAAACATTAAAGAGAAGTAGAAGTGCGTTTCTCTTTAATTTATTGATTGTACTGATCAAGATATGTTCCTCTTTTTCCTTGTTTCTACTAACAAAGTAGTTCATTAGAAAATAATCTAAATCCTGTTTCGCCGCGATAAACTCACTCTGGTTTTACACCATTGGAACTCTTCTTTTTCAACTCATATATTCTCTCACTCATTCTATTTATTCTCCTTTATGTCTTCGGATAAAATGCTCAGCAAAAACTTTGTTATCATTCAAGATTTTGTCATCTTACATTTCCATGCCACTTCCCCCAGAGCTCCCTAGCTTGTTAATTTGTACAAAATTAATACCCTCTCTGGCCATTAGAAATTGCACGAAATTTCATGTATACGTGTATGTGTCACTCGTATGCCTTCCAAAAATTTTAACTGAAATTTCTTAGTCTGTTTAGAGTAGTGGTCAAGTGATTTCTGATTCAGTAGTACTATTGAAGAACATCGGATGAACTGTGTGTCTGTGTTAGGACTTAGGCTGCTCTTTGTAATAGACGTTTAAATGTAATTACAGTTTCAAACAAAATAATATTCAAGCCCCTTCTCTGGCATGTAAGGTAACTACCAAAATATTTTAATTTTGAGGACGGGCTAGCTATAACCTAGTATAAAGCAGCAACAACAACAACAACTACCCAATAAAATCCCACATAGTGGGGTCTGGGGAGGGTAATGTGTATGCAGACCTTACCCATGCCCCGGTAGGACAGAGATGCTGTTTCCGATAGACCCTCGGATCAGAACGACGGAAATAAAGAAAAACAAGGAAAACAAGAAAAGAAAAAAAAATTCATTAGTAACTCCAGTAAAAACCATTATAGTAACAAAAACATAAAAATCAAAAGATACATATGACCTAAACATATGCAAAAGTGAACAATTTGAAACACAGTCCAGCTTACTGAAGCATTTGTGTATGTTAAATCACAGCTGTAATTTCATATCTTCTCCTGGCTAGACATCCCACTATGTGCATAAAAGATTGACAACTGCTGATACAGAGCTACTGAGTCTTGTTAAAAGGAGAAAAGAACGAACAACACAGAATTGATTTTGAAGAAACTGCTATCAGAATAATGTTTTAAGAAAAAAAACCATTCAACATAACAAATTCCACTGAAATTACAGATACTTGATTTCAGAAGAACAGCTTGCAGGTGAATGTCTGAAAATATTTACTATACACCTAGGGCAAAGAAAGAAGTAAAGTTGTATAGCCAATTACCAGAAGGAACAACTAAAAGCAACTAGCACAAGCAAGGAAATAAAAGCTCACAAGCATCCAAAAATTAACAACATTCAGAAACTGTCATCGCACAAACAGATGAAAGAAGCAAATTTGCATAACATGTTACAGAAAATCAAAAGTGAAAATTATAAGGATTAGACCAAAGGGAAGACATAGAAAATGGGAAACATGTACCCTCTACTCTGCATCAGGTTGACTAAATTAAGTAATCATTCACTGTTAAGGGGCATGCGGAAGGAAAATTAGAAAAACATTATTAGAAATTCATTGACGTAATAGAGAATTTGTGTAGCTGAAGTTTTTCAGTGTATTGAATGAATACTTTCTGTACAAGTCATGTGTATATATACAAAGAATGAAAGAATCTTTTGCATAACCAACTATCCATCTGTCCTATGCTTATTTGTCAAGCTATAACCACCTATTAAATATGTATAGAAATAAAGAGAAATAAATACATTTTATTTTCTGACTAGACTCTTTTAATTCCTTCTAGAAAACCTAAACAGACCTTTGTAGTGTATTGGGCCCAAGATGAAATAATCAGTTTAGAGAAGCAGTTTGAGCCCAAAGCCTGCCTGGCCCGATTTTATTGAGCTTGAAACAAATATCAAAAGCTCTTCAGACAAGAGCTTGATTAACCTCGTTTGTATCAAACTCCTTCTTCACAAATTCAGCTTCCCTCTCCCTTGTCTTTGAGGTTTCTTTGCAAATCATTCTCAACTTCTGATGATCGTGAAATCATATCACCAACATCCCCCCTCAAGTTGGAGGGATGTGAAACAATCCCCAACTTGCCCAAAACAGATATGTGAGATGGCCTAGAAAGGGGTTTGGTAAATACATCTGCAACCTGAGAAATCGAAGGTACATACGACAAAGATATAAGGCCGGCGAAGTATTGCTGACGCACAAAGTGACAATCAAGGTCAACGTGTTTGGTGCGTTCATGGAAGACGGGATTTTTGGCGATGTGGATCGCAGCCTGATTATCGGAGTGAAGTGGCACCGGCAAAGAAGGGGAAACAGAGAGATCCTGTAGAATTCGTACCAGCCATATTACCTCTGCAACCAC